GTTTGAACTATCTGATCCAAAAATTGATCATACACTCCAGGATGCATAGCTTTGAATTTTGAACATTTTTTTAAATGCATAATAATTCTTTCCCTTTTATAACAGATTCAAAAATGATGATTAATACAAAGAAATCTACATCTTTAAGGCTTTCTAAAGAATGTTTTTTCATATTGATAGGCGTTCACTATGTAAAGTTAACCCTATTTGAAAACAGTGTCACTTTTTTCTTCAAAGCTGAGATTATTTTTCAGCTTTATGTTGAGTGCCTTGAAAGGTGGATGAAAAGATGTAGATATTTTGTGGTTTCATATGAGTATTATTTTATGGGGGTTATTTATTATTAAAGTTTAGAGGAAATAGAAAAAAACTGGAAAAAAAACATAAATTCCCAAAATTCTCATGAACATGGAACAATCTAAGGGGAATTTATCATTAAGATCATCAATTTTGTTGTCCAAAATTAGTAAAATACTTCCCAAATTTAGTAATTTGGCAACAAACTTTAACCTTGAGATTGTTATTTATCTCCATGTATACTTACAGTGAATTTTGTTTAATAGTAATAAATTAACTTAATAATAAATTTTTTACCTCTTTTAAAATATCTAATATTTTATCACTTGAATTATTATTATATATCCTTTTTAACACAACCTTTATATCAGTATGTCCATAATAACTGTTAATCCAAGTTGCCCTATGAACTTCACCAAACCACCTTTAGCTAAATATTCTATATTTTTAAACTCATCAAATGGAATCCATTGAATATAATTACTATCATAATAACATCTTGCATTTAGTTTACATTGATAAAGAAATTTAGCTATTTCTTTATTCCTGCATTTATCAATTAATTTTTCTATTTTTTTCTCTTTGCAACCTTCACATAATATCTCCTCATTTAATCTAATATCTATATCAAATAATTTGTCAATTAATTCATCAATTATTTTTCTCTTTTTCCACCTATATATTTTTGACTTAATTAAATGGTTTTCTATTTTAATTATTATCAATTTGTGGAATTCATCAAAATCATTTCCTTCTATTTTTTTTTTTTTGCAACTTGTACAATTGTCTATTATTTTTAATGTCACAAATAGTTCATTTGAGAGTAAGTTGTTTCCATTGATTAACTTATTATTATTTAATTTATTGCGTAATGTATCTATCAATTCATTAATAACATCCATTTAAAATTTTTTTTTTGTAGGAAGAAAAAAATATCTGTTGCACAAATAAAAATAGTATTCATTTGCTCCTAGTGCAGGAGAAATTTTTAGGTCAAATTCGTTTATATCCTTAGAAACAGGAACAAATGTTTGGCACCATATGTTGTTGGAACACTTTGACCTTGTGAAAAATGAAAAAGTTTATTTATTTATTAAAAGAAATAACATGTACAGTCCCCCAAAAAAGTAATGGCGGTGGGATTATTATGCAAAATTTATCATAATAATATTTTATTTTATTTAACCAAAATATATAAATAATAGTAATGAATAACTTGTTAAAAGATTATTATTAAAAAATCGAAATTCATAAAGTTTTAATATAGAGATGTTTTTTTATCTTTAAAATTGTTGACAACTTTTAAAGTTTGTTTTCTTAATAACTAGTAATTGGATTTTAATCATTTTGACTTTATTGAATTCAGCTTAACTAGGTGAACATTTTGATAGTTGTTTTATTATAATACAACTGATGTTTGTCAAGTTATTAAAAATTTTGACCTTTTTTTAAAAAATTAAAGCAGTACTTGGTAAAATTAATTATTTAAAAATTACATTCAAATTTGAATTAATATAGAATGAAAATTCATTATATTCTAATCTTTCGAAAATATAATCTTTTACTTTTAAATTTTTTAAAAATAATTTTTTTTTTTATAATTGTTATATAAAAAATTTTTTAATAATAAAAAAACACCCCGCCATTACTTTTTTGGGGGACTGTAAAAACGGATTTCTGTAACTATTATTTAAAATTTTTTGTTGAATAAAAATGGATAATGATAAAGAAAATATTTGAAATTTTTTTTAGAAAAAGAAAAAAATAGAAATTGATATTATCTTAAAGAAATAGTCTAAAATTCTTTGAAAATGAAAAGAAAAAACAGGATGAAGTATCAGTTTATGTAGATAATTTATTTTTAACAAAATTCTTCTTGAATGCAATGAAAAGGAATGATTTGATTGGCGATAAAATTGGTTTAACTAGTCATTAAAGAAAATGTTCAACAGCCTTTTAATTTATCTTTTTGGTGATGGATGGACATCAGGTATTGTAGTAATATTAGACCTATCCGATTTTGCTTGTTTTTTCCACCTTGTAACATTACTTTTACCATCCACTGAATCATTCACAACTTTCATCGTTTGGAGTACTAGGAGCTAGAGAAGAAATCAAGTATCAAAAGAAGTTTAAAACTTAAATGAACTAAGTGTAACTTACCTTTGCATATATTATCTCAACTAGCACGTCCAAGGATTTACCAAAATTATTTACATCCACATAAACTTCAAGTGGATTTCTTCTTGTGTATTGACAGATATACCCATCTGGGCAATCAAGATTTGTTCTAATCAACACAGCGCCTTTAAAAAAACAATAAAGGAAATTTAATTGCTTTTATTCCATGCATATTTGTTTTTGTTAAAAAACCTACAAAGTGAACATAAAATTATAAAAATATATATAGGGATAAGTGTATATGAAAATTAATAATGAAAATATTGGATCTACTGAATATAAAAGGCATTTGATTTTTTAGAAAAAGAGTGTAACTGTGGCTGCTCTTCAAGAATTCCCAAGGAACAATTTGCAGAATTAAGAGAATCTTTTCAAGCTCTTTCTAAAGTAGAACAAGACATATTTTTAATGGCTCAACTTAAAGCCATGGATGGGGGATTAACAAGTGCTAGCAGACGCCTTAAAAAGAAAACTAGATCTAATAAAAGAACTTTCTATCACTGAAATCACAATACACCTCTTTGTCAAGAAACTTATCTCAATATGTTAGGAATTGGTAGAACTTATTTTGAAAACATTAGAAATCATTTGATAAAAAATGGTCTTCTAGCAAGAGTTCATGGCAATATTAAAAGGATGCCTCAATGGAAAACTAAAATGGTGATTGACAAAAATGTTGCTGAGGTGGTAAGGAATTTTCTAGAAAATTATGCAGAAGTTCATGGATTACCAAGTCCAGGCAGAAATATCAATAGAATAACTCAATCAATTGTATTTTTACCAGCTGAAATGAGTTATAAATCAGTCCACAGAGATTTTCTGGTTGGTCTAGAAGAAGATAGTAACTTGAAATCCTTAAAATATGATGCATTCAGAAAGTTATGACATCAATTAACACCAGAAATTCAAATTATGAGTCCAAGAACTGATTTGTGTGATACTTGTCAACATTTTAGAGATGGTTTACATTACAATGCTCGTCAAGAAGAAGAAGCTAAAGGATTACTTAAAAGATTTAAAGAACATCTGTCCAAAGCCAAATTAGAGAGAAATTACTATAATAAAAATACCAAATTAGCAGAAGAACAAAGAAAATTAGTCAATCAACATTATTCAAAGGGTAAAACACAATATTGTAGTATTGATGCCACTGCTCATTATAGTTATGATTGAGCCCAAAATGTTCATGTGCCACATTTAGATCAACAAGTAAGTAAAATTTACTACCTTAGTCCATGTAAAGTTCATTTATTTGGTATTCAAGATGAGGCAATAAGGGAACAAATTAATTATGATCTTAATGAAGATGAAATTATAGGTAAAGGTCCTAATGGAACTCTTAGTATGATTTTTGATGGGATTAAGAAATTGAATAAGGGTGAAAAACATTTAAAGATTACTTGTGATAATGCTGGGGGACAAAATAAAAACAATGTAACAATTTGGTTTTATTTATATTTAGTAATTTGTGGTTATTATGAAAGCATTGAATTGAATTTCATGGTTCCAGGACATACCAAATTCAAGTGTGATGGTAGTTTTGGCTTGATTAAAAAACTCTATAGGAAAACAAGAGTAGATTGTCTGGGCCATGTGGTTGAGGTGATAAAAAGGTCTAGTCCAGCAGGATTAAATAAAGCTCAGTGTTATGAAGGTGGAAAAGGCTTTCAATACTTAGATATTAAAGCTATTTTGGGAATTTATTTTAAGAAACTAAATGGTTTGCAAAAATATCAACATTTTCTTTTTGAAGCATCTAATCTTGGTACAGTAAAAGTTCAAGAAGTTGCTAATGGTTCTTTTGTTGAATTTGATTTATTAAAAATTAGGAGAACAGATATTTTTGAAGAAATTAGAACTTTATCTATTTTAGTGTTAACACCACCTCCTTTGGATTACAAAAGGCAAGAATACCTTTATAATAATATTCGCCCATTTGTAAGGGATGAATTTAAAGATGTTACTTGTCCAAAACCAATTTATGCTGACAATGAATAGAAAATTTAAAAATAAACTAATAAAATAATTATATACTTAATAATGCTTTTATAAAAAGAAAGATATTAAGTATTTATTAAAAATTGAAGAATATAATTAACAAAAATCATGAAAAACATAATAAATGAACAACAACAATCTGTAAGTGCACTTTATGGTACAATTTATGTAAGTGGCAAAAGTTCCTTTGACCACTTAAAGCTTTATTAATTTCATCTCTTTACAAGCCTCTTAAGCTGTTCATTTAACAGTTGTATGTTTACAACAATTACTTTAACACAAATAAAAAATGTTAATAAAAAAAAATTTTCTTATTTATTATTGAACTTTACAAAAAATACTTGGTCCCAGTCCCCCACCATTAGAATGTGATCATGAAAAACCACCAGCCATAGTCAGTTTAATATTGGTGAGAAATGATCATGAAACTACAGTATTTGGACCAATGGAGAACCAATCACAGTCCCTGAGCCTTATAAACTTACAAAAGGCCAATTGGAGGACTTACATTTAAAGATGAAATTCCAGAACTGGTTCAAGCAGATACTAGCACAGAAGGTGACACAGCTGAACCAAGATTAATCATACCA